CACACACACACACACACACACACACACACACACACACACACACACACACACACACAAATCCATTAAAAAATAACTTGCAGAGACAAACTGCTGCCGCGCTTGCTTTTCTTATTTTCGTTTAAAGGGCAACTGATATTTTCTCTCTGTGTCTGCCATTTATTTGGCCCTTGGCGAATGCTTTGCAGAAACGGCCATCTCAGAAAATAGGGATTGGAGCAAATTACAATTCCTCTGCTGAGTTTGTCGGCAGATCGGCCGGTGGAATTTTGTGGGAAACATTGTGAAACGTGTGCACTGTTCTTAGTTTTTATTTAAAAAAAACATTTTAAATTCATAAAGCATTTTACAACAAATTGACCTTACACTGATCAAGACAGGAAAGGAGAGAAAATGACATAAATGGCCTAACTTGTTTGCATTAAAGCTACATCAGGCGATTATTTTAGCAGCTGTAAAAATCTCAAGTGGATTTAGCTCTTGATACAAATCTGCTGATTATTGTTCTGTGGTTTATTATCTTTCCAGAATTAGTTATTCTTTATCTTTCATATTTTGCTTTCTCTCTTAACCCACAGCTTTATAATTCTCACTCCTCGGAGTGGTGCTCCTCTGGTCAGGTGGCTGAGAGGAATGACCATGACAGTTTCCATTAGGTTTAATGAGGCCTGGCCGGTCAGGCAGAAAAACGTGCTGACAGGTTAACATGTTGTGGCCCAGTGGCTTGGCTTATTTCCTCACCTGCCTTTACCATGCACCCCCGCCCACCCCCCCACCCACCAACTGGAGTAAAGGGGACAGCAATCTACACAGAGGTGACACTCGAGGCTGGCAGCAGAAACATGAGGTCGGGGCCCGTTTTTAGCAGTGAGTGATGGGTCGGCCATCGGATCGGACTTTAATGAGTGGCTTTGTTCTCTTACGAGAAAGTGAATGAGCCCCTGCTTAGCTGAGGCACACATCAAAACCCAGCACCAAAAAATAAATAAAAAAAGTTGGACTTTTAGATTTTTCTGTTCTTTTCAGTACACACACGCACGCACGCACGCACGCACYCACACACGAAGAAATTGGCATAATGTAAATAAATATGTGTCACTTTGTATTTTATTTAGCTGCAGTTTATTTAAACTGTCCAGTTTTATTGCAAATGTTGCTTACAAGCTGTGCTGTGCTGCAAACATCATGATGCATTTTACCTTCATCTGAAGTCAGAGTTATGCTAAAGCTCAGTGATCCCCAAGAATATTATTCATTTTTTATTTACTATAAGTGCTTTTGTGGGATGTTGCTCAAGTGAAATATTAGGCATAAATTATACAGCTGAACTTTCATTTTACGTCTATGTTCACACAATACCAAATAAATCTGCTTCTTACACGGAGATTGTTAAAAGCTTTTCAGACTAACGATCTAAAAGCAATTTTACTTTTGTGTTTTGGAAGTTTTAAAACTGTTTTGTGTGTTGATACACATTACACACGCAGGACCTGAGATCCTTTGCACTGATGTGTTAAACATTCCACGGAAGAAGAGTTGAAATTTTGCGGCCTGGACGTTCACACCATCCCTGCCTGTACATCGCAGTGCTCTCACATAATCAAAAATTAAAAAAAGTTATTTAATGACGTGATGTGATATGTGATWAAACAAAACTATGTCCTACCTCCTGTTATTGACACCAGCTGGGACCTTCCAGCCTTTTATCTGACTGAGTTCAGTGTCAGCCACATCTATGAGCAAAGGCAGGCGGGGGATCCACACGCTCATCTTGAGCTGRGCACTCAGAAAGCTGTAGGTGAAGTTGAGCATCACTCTGCTCTTTCCCTTCGTCTCCTTTCCGTTGACATAAACATAATCGCAGCGCTCCGAGACCTGAAGAGAGAAAACAGAAACACTGAAAACAAACCAGGTCAGACTGATGACAAGTTTGCATGGTTATTAAAATGAAGGAGCTTGTCAGTTTCATTTACTTCATGTGTACTTTTATACATAGAACTGGTTTTATGAATTGTCTGTAGGATTGTAGTTTGATTGGTTTTAGAGAGATGTGAATAATGTTATATTAGACATGTATTTTTATAATGGCTTCTCACCAATTCATAATCTGTTAAATCATATTTAATTACATCAACCTGTCCGGGACTACGGATAGAAACTAGCATTTTTGCTACACTCAAAAGAAAAAAAAAAGAAATAAAACTATGTAGTGGATTTACTACATAGATTTCCTAATTTCTCTAGGCTTAGACTGCTGGATTACAAACTGACCACATTTCCTCATTCTGCTGTTGTCTTTAGTCACTCTCCTCCACATGTTTGTTGTAATTATTTCTATCGATAACATGCTTCCTTTGTCCCTCTTCCAGAGGAAGGTGCACCTGGACCAGTCCTTCTGTGATTCTCTGTCTCTTTCCTGTCTCTAAACCCAGCTGGTTGAGGCAGATGGCCGCCTGTCCCGAGTCTGGTTCTGCTGGAGGTTACTTCCTGTTAAGAGGGAGTTTTTTTTTCTCTCCACTGTCGCCAATGGGCTGCTCAGGATGGGAGACTGAAGTGATTCAACACAATCTGCTGGCTTTTTCTTTTTTTTTTTCTTAGATTGTTTTCTGTGTACACACAACCCGACTTAGGATAAAGTGGAAAACAATGGATGGATGTTTTCTGTGTGCAATGCCCTGAGATGACATACGTTGTGATTTGGCGCTATCTGAATAAATTCAATTGAARTGAATTTTCTTAAAAAGTTATGTCAACTAGTTTCTCTTCCTGAACTGAGTAAAGGTAAACGCATTACCTTTACTCATTTCAATTGTTGACTAGTTGACTGTTTTTAAAGCAAACCCACTACATCTTTTTGTTAGTTTATAACCTGTGTATTTAGTGTTTACATCTCTCCTTTTAAAAGGTTAAGGAAATGTCGTACATCATCTTTGTAAAATAAATATAATAAACGATACAATTCTTTAAATAGTTTCTTAAAAACTCATTGATTTATGTTTTGTGCCGTCAAAGGCTTAATTTGCAAATCTGGAGTTTTTAGAAAGATTTAGACTTTTTTTCCACATTTTTTGATGAAATCTCAAGAGTCACATTTACTGAACAATTATTATTGATTAATAATTATTAAAATTATTATTTTTTTAAATGAATGAGTCCAGAATTTTAAAAGGCACAAGATTTCCTGTGAACACATGGTCATAATCATAAACACCACTGACACAAAGTGAACATTTTTAAGGGTTTAAGCTTTTAGGTTTGGTATAGAATTGGGTTTAAGATAAGGTTTAGCTATTTTACCTCTAGTATCATTTTGTTTTTGCGTGTGTGTGTGCTAGATTCACTGTATGTGCACTGCCTAGCGCACGTTGGCAAGCAGTGGGAAGTTGGCCCAACTTAACAGGTGGCGAAACAAACCTGGTTCATCTAACCAGAGAACAACATGGTCGGGAAATAAAACAGCCAGCTGGATAAGCAGATATCAGAATATCTCCGACATAACTGAGACATCTGTGTTCTTTTCAAAGCATTTAGCTTTCAATTTATAACAGCACTTCACTGATTTTTATTTGTATTCACCAAAGTTTTAACTTATTGTAAGTTTTATCACTGTCATAATCTTGATTGGCACAACTTTTAATTTCAGCACATGTTGTTCTTAGGGACAATTGCTTCTTTGTATTAAACCAGTCACAAGAAAAAAAAAACTGTCATCTGTCTCCACTTCTTTGCATACGACTTGGCATCTTTAACTCTCAAATGGTGTCAGATCAGCCCTTCTCTCTGAGGAACAAAACTGACAGCTCAGTGTCTGTCAGTTCTCTCCTCCGCCTCCCTTTCATTTCTTCTTTCCCACTGCTTTCATCCTGAGCCTACCCAGTTTTATCGTGCCTCATCGGGTTCTGTCTTCTTGTGATTAGAATAGGTTGTGATTGTGAGGGGAARGTTTTGGGGTTTCACTTAAATGTCATATTTTGAAGTTCATGCTTTTATAATTTGAATTAGGTGTCAGGWTTGGGAACCTCGGGGTACTGTCTCTGCTTTACGCAGATGATGTGGTTCTATTGGCATGTTCCGGCCACGACCTTCATTGTGAGCTGGGGCAATTTACAGCCAAGTGTCGAGCGGCTGGGGTGAGAGTCCATTTCTTTATAAGGCTCGCTCAAGATGCTGGATCTCGCTGTTGTGATTAGAGCCAAGTCTTTTTTGTGTGGATAACATACTCGAAGGATAAACCTCAGGTGAGAAGCCCTCCCACTGTCCTCCCACTGCAGCACGTATTTAAAGAGCAAGCTAGCCATGATTCATGTTGATTAAAAAATGACCTCATTCTCAAAAACSCAATGGATGAGTCTCTTTACAACCAGGCACTAATGATAAAGTGCACGCAGCTTACCTGTCCAGTACAAATGGGTTCTTGTAAAAAATATGACTAAAAACAAAACAGTGACTCAAAAAGGCACKAAATTTACCTTAATAACTTGTTCATCTGTGGACTTGCACTCCACGGACTCTGTGACYTCTGATACTGATCCATCTGTCCCAACAGTGACCACCTTTACTGGGACGGCGACAGTTCGTCCGGTGAGGACAGCCGTGTTGAGGATCTCAGTCTCCTGGGAAGAAACAGAAAGAAGCACATCAGGTACYTGTTTTTTAGCTGGTCCGAGGCAAATAAACTACAACAGAGAAAATACATTTTTCCCCCTGCATGTTAAACTACAATAACACAGTGGAACATGACAACCTGCAGACTCTTTTTTCATTACCTTATTCTAGGATAATGAAAAGGATTTCAACAATTCTGTTGTAAGCATAAGATAAGCAGTTTATTTTCATTCTGGTTCATGTTGCTCCAAAGGTTACAACATACTGTAGGATCCCAAAAGCATGGTTCACATTTTGTTTTGAAGTTGGAACAATAATCACCATTTGTTAGTAGACCTAAAAGCAAAAGTTCACAGAAATTATTATAATTTTTTTTTCAGAAAACCAATGAAAACTCAACATGTTGTCGTTTGGAGTGTTTTCTTCAAAAAGACAGCCCCTCAGTATCATGTATCTGAAGGCCATCCATCCATCCATCCATCCATTTTCTTCCGCCTATCCGGGGTCGGGTCGCGGGGGCAGCAGCTTCAGAAGGGAGGCCCAGACCTTCCTCTCCCCAGCCACTTCTTCCAGCTCCTCCGGGGGAACCCCAAGGCGTTCCCAGACCAGCCGAGAGACATAGTCCCTCCAGCGTGTCCTGGGTCTTCCTCGGGGCCTCCTCCCGGTGGGACGTGCCCGGAATACCTCACCAGGGAGGCGTCCAGGAGGCATCCTTACCAGATGCCCGAGCCACCTCAACTGGCTCCTCTCGACTCTGAAGGCCATGTCAAAGAAAATTGTAGGCAATAGTCTCCATCCGAGACCGCTAATATCAAGTGTGCTTTGAAACCTCCTCAGAACATGAAAGACAGCTGTCATGAGTGGTAAAATTTACTTTTCCAGAGATGGTATGATGCATAATATTGTTTACCCCTCACTTATAGGTTGATGGTAGAGCGTAAATACAGATACTTTCCAGAAAGTGATCAAGTAGAAAGAAAATGTTGAAAAAGTTAAATTGTGGACAGCTAACTTGTTTGTCTTTGCAACAGACAAACATAAATAAAATGCTTTTTAGTTTCATAAAGTTTCTAAGACAAAGAGAATGCCAATAAATGTTATAACCATTTTTTCCAATTTGTATCACTCTTTCTGTTTTTAGTAATTATGCAGTTTTAAAATAAAGCCTTTTGTAGACTTTGCATTTCACAGCTGTTTAAGTTAAATACCATTTACCACTTTATGTGAGCTGTTACCTTCAGGATATGTGCACATATTGTGCCAGCTGAAAGCAGGATCGTTTGATTTGCTATGATACAGCATGGTGAGTCAAAAGTGATTAGAAAAAGCTTTATGTAAAAAGTTGTCAATGTTTTTGACATATGTTTGAAATGTCAAGGTAGCAGTTTGTTGCCCTGCTCACTTTGTTTATTCAACATTCTGGCAGACACTGCCTTCCCTTTCTCTTTCTCAATAATCCACCACAAACATTCACCATTTTCAAAGAACTCAAAGCAAATGTCAGAGAGGAAAGAAGTAAAGCAGAGATATGTTAACTCCAATAGAAGTGAATGGGCTTCTGCTTGACTTGCATACAAAGACACAATCAAGGATTGTGCGTCGTGGGCACGGTTTTAGATGTTGTTTTGAGGCATGATAAACATGAGAAGTTAAGGTAATACATACCAATAAAAATGAAAAATTTCTCGCTGGTGGTCTGCGGTTCGCATGGGCTGGGGGGTAGGGTTGGCTGGGGGCGTGACATGGGGCTAGTGGGGTGAGGGGGTGTCGACCCAGCCTGGGTGTCCTTGTGTTATATGTTCTGATAGTGGCCCGAATGTTGGGGTGGGTGTAGTATGTCTTCTGGGGTGGGGATTGGGTTGGTGGTCTTTGGTGGTGGCTGGGAGCCGTGCTGGGCCGGCTGGTTGGCCCCTTTGCTGTGGCGGGGGCCTGCCCTGGGTGCCCCCTTGCTCTGTCGGCGGTTGGGTGGGCGCTCTTGGCCGGGTCATCCTTGCTGGGGAATGGTGGCCTCTCTGGGCGGCGGGCCAGCTGTGGGGCTGGGGTCGGGTTTTGGGGCTCTGGGTGGCTCTGGGGGGGGTGGAGTGTTGGTCCCAGTTTCTGGTGGCCTTCGGGGCTCTGTCTGTCCATGGTCTGGGGT